TGAGTGCTGTTTTGGGAATTTTGAAGCAACAGTCAGAACTGAATAACGGGCTAACCACTAGAAGTACATTTTAATTTATTTATGGTTTGTAATTCAAATGCTGGTGTATCATAACCATCCAGCTTCCCTAGCAGCATTTCAGATAAGCAGTAAGAGGAACTTCCTAAGTGGAAGCTATGTGCCTGTATTTGTGTCTAACTTTCCACAAAACAGGAGATGGAAATGCACAGCTTGCCATTTGTAGAAAACTGTGCTTCTCAGCATTTGTCAAACAATTACCATTCTCTATGAAGAAGGTAAAGAGGTATTGCCTTTATAAGATGCTTGGCTCATGCATCAGATTCCAAGGTTTGAGGTTTTTCAAACTGAGCAGCAGTAGCTTCCTCAATTGATTGCCAAATCATGTGCGCTTAACAAGTTTTATGATTTTAAATGATTCATTGTATATGTATTCTTCTTGGAATGCACATGGACTGGAAAGCTAGCACTTATCCTGTGATAATTTCCCTGATGGGAAAAATAGCTAGAAAGGTCAAAAGCTTCTAGAGATGAACGTAAATCATTTGATTACAGATTTGGGGGGGGGGAGGGGGGCAAGGTGGAGAAAAAGCAATAGCCCTCTAACAAAGCAGATGAAAGCAGAATGAAGGGAAAAGGAGGAACTCTGAAAAGCCTTCTACATTTTTTCCCTGTATGATTTATATGTACTACAATGAAAACCTTGAAAAGCAGTTATGTTTATTATTTAGAAAACCTGCTGCATCAGAATGTAGTGTTGTTTAGTGGTTTGAATGATACTTGAATGTACATAGTACTTCTTTATCTGTTTGACTTATGACTTCTCAATTGTACTTTTTCTTCAAACCTTTCCCGAGTACTTAAGAAGCAACTATTTTTTACTGAAAGGTGCTTTGTTTCCTGCCAAAGAACACTGAAACAAAAGCCGTTGCCTCTAGCCCTTGCCACTGCTAAGCAGTGTAAGGTGAGCACACGTAGCACAGCCAGAGCTATGGCAGAAAGCACACTTTACCTCCCTGCCTCACTAAATAATACATTGGCAAGGCAAGCAAATAAGAGATTTGGTGTCTTGTAACTACCATCAGACGTGTGTATATCAAGCTTCATGTTCGTTAGTCAAATGAGACCAATGCATTAGAGAACGTTTAAATTTGTCTTCCTTTAAACAGGCACACAATGAGTGCAGCAATGTTACAACCAGAAAACTTGACCGAGAAGAACACAGCGGTAAGACAAACTCAGTACAAATATGCAATTTAATGCTTTTTTTTCATAGGCTGTCTAGTGTAGGGCCTGATACTTCTCATGCAATAAATGAGAATGATGGGATAAAAGGAAAAAAATAAGCATCTCTTGCCTCAAAGTCCCATGTATATAAATAAAGCACTTCAGTCTTCTCTTATTAGATGAGAAAATGTGTTTATTTTGCTGGTAAGATACAAGAATTAGTGTTCCAGTGTGATTTTCCTCAAAACACTGGAACCTTGTTACATTTGCTAGAATAAGGTTTTGCTATAATTTAGACTTGAAACAACATTTTTTAATGTTTTATTATTTAGCTGTGCCTATTTGTATTAGGAAAAAGGTTGGTATGTTAAATGACAGCCGAAATTAATCTGTTTTCTCAAAATCTGACTAGGAATTTGCAAGTACTTTAACTTTTGTAGTAATCAAAACCAATTTTAGGTCTTTTAATAAACTTATCTGATCTGCTTTTGTCACAAATTGTCTGAGAAGTAAAGGAAGAAATGCTACTTGATACATGAGACTGCTTATATGCAGAAGAAACTGCAAGGTTTTCTAGCAATGGTGTCAGAAGTGTGTACCTAGCTTGTGCACACCTATCATGTGCACATTCTAGGAGTCTTAGGGAAGAAGAGATTATGTAGTAAGGTGGCCAGTGAATATTGCAGTTGGACTAGATGATTGCTGTTGATCTCTTCCAACTGAACTGTTCTGTTGTATTATTTACTAGATTTAGAGGAAAACTTAGCCAGGTACTCGTGCATGAACACAGCAACACTATTCACAAATGTGTATCAGATTACTATTTTTGCAATTTCTATTTACTTGTTTGCTAGTGAAAAAATAAGGAGTTTGCATGTAAGAAACATTTAAGATATGAATAATATGATGAAAATACAAGCAATCGTTCTGGCAAAGGAATACACAGTAGAACCAATAATGTTTTTCTCATTACCTCTTTTAATTACTTGCATGAATATGTTCACCTACCAATTGAATAAGTAGTCTGTAAACAACAGCAGAGGGCTTATCTCATTTGCAGTACAAGAAAAAAACACCACTTAAATGATCCTACTGTGAAGACAGATTCATCAACAGCTTCAGGTTTAAAAAAAACCCTGTAATTTACTAGGTATCTTCCATTCATGAATCTACAAAACCTACAGGCCTTCCTATAGCTTTTTTTCTCAGGAAAAAAAATTATTACATGCCATGTAGAATTACCATAGGCCTCATAAAATTGGTGGGAGAGAGATCCAAAAGATCCCAGAGAAGAAACATGTCAAAAGTAAAACCTAGTTTGATTGCAGTGTTTGAATGCTGTACTATCACTGGCCTCATAAAACAAACACATTTGTGCAAAAGGTTTATAGGTAGTATTCATAAGGACCTACTTTTGAAGGATATATAGCATTTTAGGTAGGTCCTTCACAAAAATTCCTTCATCCATTTCTGCCGGAATGACTAGCTAACTTGTTTGCTACTGCTACCTTCCTCATTCCAATACACCTCTTTTGGCCACAGAAGCACACTAGTCTCCCAAACCAAAGAAAATGAGATGGCAATGCTGCTTGCAGAGTTTTAACCTGGCTGAAACCTTTATCATATCACATTGATACTTTAAAAAAAAAAAAAAAAAAAAAAAAAAAAAAGTTTTTCATTTTTATGGGCTGTTACTTGACTGTTACAAGCCAGGGTTTGATGCAATGGGACTGAAAACATGACTGTAACAGACTGTTCTGCTTTGCCTCAAGTCCCAGACATGGGCAGGCTGCTATTAGAGAATAAATCAAGGTAAGTCAGGGGAGACACAAATAGGCCAGAGGACCAGATAGTCAAGAGCAAAAAATAGTGGACAAAATAGGGAAAAAAAAAAAAAAAAGATACTTGGTGAGAGCAACAGTATCTGTTCTCCCCATCACTTAAATAAGATAATTTTACAGGTGGCCAGTAAAAGTTAAAAACTACAGTCAGCAGAGCTAGTATGAAATTATAATAGTGATTCGGGCATAAGTCCAAATCTACACTTTTCTTATTTCCTCTATTCCCACATTTTCATGAAGGCTAAGGCTCTACCACGCTCAGGAAACAATTACAATAACTGACAATTTTAGATGTGCAGTAGTCATCAAATATTTTCCTTGAAATAAATTCCCATTAGTAATCTACAGTGATTTAAACTACCACAAACAGGTAGGGAAGGAAATTAAAAATCAGAGACCAGTTTTGGACATAGCAGTAATAAAACACAAAAACCTCACCAGGTTCTGATTTGCATTTTTTTTGCAGGTGCCCCCTTTCTCCTCTCTTCCCCTTCCCCCTCCCCTAACTCCCAAGTTTCAGAGAGAGACTTCCATTAAAATATATATTGAGAAAGTGGCTTAAAATCAGGTTTAGTCTTACATTCAAATTTATCCCCAGCACAAATGCAGATGTTACAATGAATTCTCTCTTTCAGGTAAGGAAGAGGGTAAGGTAGGAAGCACAACAAATCAACCTTATAAACTGTTGTGTCTGCACAGTTTCACCTGTGCAGCTAATCCATGCATGTAAACAAAGCAACTGTGTCTATATGTCATCTAGCCATAGGTCTCACACAAGACGAGGTTGGAAAGAATGTAAAAGCTGTGAGCCAAGAAAATCCTGTTTTGTTCCAACGAATGGTACCTTGAGTTTACTTTGAAAAATATTCTTGCAATGCACCAAATAGCCAGTGCTTCTCCTATGTTTTTTCCTCCTAAGTGAAATATTACAGACCACAATAATTCTGGTTTGAAATTGACAGAAAAAACACCCCAAGCCCAACTCACAACAACGCAAATTTAAGCTCAATCAAATGTAAGCATGTTACAAGATAGTTAAACACATAACAAACTCTCTTGCCAGGAAGGGCAGAGCTACCAAATTGAGATCTTAGCTAATAGTTTGGTCTCAATTCTTGTTAGCATATCTTTGTCTATACTGTTTTGAATCCATGTTCTTTCTAATAAAACTAATTTTGAATCAGAGATGAAAACTTACATTTCAGTATTTGCTGCAGGGTAGAAAAAGTCTTGAAACCAAACCTCTTGGGAGCCGATTTCAGGAAACAGGTTGCAGATTTCAGCAACTGGTGCAAAGTGATAGAATAGCAATTTTCCTTCCCAAGAGTACTGTAAGAAAGATGGAATAAATTTGTGAGAACACAGTGAACTGATTGCAAAGATTTTATATCAGCACTTAGTAATTTACCTGCCAGAGGAGTTACAATGCAACTAGGACCATTGTACTAGGAAGAGTTTGCAAACCATCCCTGTACTTCCCCAGCCAATGCAGTAGCCCTTCTGGCTGCATTAAAATGCTGTGTTTCACTCCAAAATACCACAGCTGTATCAAATCTAAAAGAAACCAGCAGTCACCTGTCACAATACCTTTCAGTGCAGCACACCCTGATTACCAGGCACTCGTTCATTAGCCCCACTTTGTTTGAAATTCTTCCTAATTGTGTGCTTGCTGTTTTTCCATTCAGGCAAGACAGCAATTCTGCTGGCAAGCTTAAGAATAAAATATCTGAATGCCACCCTTAA